ATTCCTCCCTAGTTTAGACAAGGGGGAAATATAGATAAACATGTCCTTACTGTGTTCAAGGCTCTTACATCCTTTTTTCTGGTGTGAACAGAAAACAGTTTTCTGAAATGGTTATCTGACTAAATTTATGCCCTTAATGAACTGAAGTGTTTCTCTTGGGAAGGCTCGTTGTTCGTATGTGTGAATTCTCTTTATATGCAGGGGTGGGCAACTACCTCGCCAGAGCCACACTAACAGTTTAGCTGTTTGTGTTGTTCTCCTGTGCAGAGTAAAATAAAACTTTTTCTTCCTTGCATATTGCCTCTTAATTCAAATTCAAAATTAATTCAAATTTAATGGTTTTAATGTTGTTGTTTTTTTACTCACATTTTCTCCCTCCTTTCTATTTTCTTCTATTGATTTCTGTGTCGCTTCTCTTTTGTTTGTCTGTGAAGCCAAAGGTTACCAATGTGTGGCTGGTGAATCTGGCCATAGCCGACCTCGTCTTCAGCGTGACAAGAATGTTTTCCCTGATAAAGAAGCTCTTCTACAACTACTGGCCCTTTGGATTGTTCGTCTGCAAGTTCAACGGCTTCTTTAAATACGCCAACATGTTCTGCTCTGTCTTCCTGCTGGCTATCATCAGTCTGGACAGAATGCTCTGCATCTGGAAGCCTGTCTTTACAAAGCGACGGCGCACCCTGTGTGCTGCCAGGGTGGTGGCACTTTGTGTCTGGATCTCAGCGGTCCTCTTCAGTAGTCCCTACTTCATCTACCGCCAAGTATACATGAAGAACAACCTGAGCAAATGTTCCATGGAGGTGAAAGAGGTGAAGGAGGGGACCAGCTCCATCAAATATTTTCTGTATTTAAATCGGTTCCTGTGTGGCTTCATTTTCCCCTTCATGGTCATTCTTATCTGTTACATCATGGCTGGCATTGGCATCCGACGCACACGCCTTTCAGGGAAGTCACGGCCCCTGCGTATATTGGCATCCCTGGTCATAGCCTTCTTCCTGTGCTGGGGTCCCTACCATTGTCTGTTAATTGTGAAGATGGTGGACAAAAAAAATGCAGTGTTGAAAGTCTGGCAGCCTTTGGCGAATGGTTTTGCATATTTTAACAGCTGCGTGAACCCGCTGTTGTACTTCTTTATGGGGCTGAATGTGAGAGGCCAGTTCAGACAGAGTCTGATGGGAATTTACAAGAAAGCTTTGGCTGATGATGTTGAAGGACAGACGACTCAGTCGAACGAGCGATCTCTGGACGAAAGCAGTTCATCAAAATACAATGCTGCTGTGGTGGCAGAAAGAACTGAAGTCCTTTAGTTGCCAAGCTTTGGCTTCTACATGAGCCATGTCATTTAGAGTGATACTGAACCAATGAACTGAATTAAAATAAGTCAATATGTTAAATTGTCTTTGTGAATCTATGAGAAGAGCTACAGATTTATTCCTGGAATATGTATGACCATGAGTGCATTACCATTTTGTATTGTTAAATGGCTCAAATCATTTTAAAAAGCACATTTTTTGTAAGCCAAATCCAAAATGTACTCTTTAATTCAAATTAGTATATAGTATATAGCATATATAACATATGGATAAAAAAGATATTCTTTGTCAAAACTACCAACGGGTACATAAAATATACTGACAAGACAAAGATTTTGCAAGGATTGTTTTTGAACTTGGATGCAAAATTTCCTCTCAAAGGTCTGTGAGTTATCTTGGTTCTTGTGATCTAAGTCACAGAGGAAAAGTGGAACTGTTAAGTCTGGAGGAATAGGAATAAAAAAGACTTAGGGAAGTAAAACTATTACAGGAAAGCCAGTAATAGTCATGATTCTGTCTGTTTTTAAAGAGGTCAAAGCCAGCAGATGAACTGAAACTGTACTGAGTGTCTGTTGCCTCTCAACAGAACACACACTTTTGAAGGGCATGTTTTCAGTTTAACTCTATGCATTAAAGTGTTTCAGTTATTATTTACCTCATTCTAACTTTAGCTTAGAAATACAAGGGATGGAAGATTCTCATAAACAACCAAATGGAAGCAAGAATCTTATGATCCACCCCAAACAGCAAGCTTATAGAGCAGAATTTAAAGTGCAGAGTTCTGACGCATCACTTGGAGATGAAGCTGAATGTTTGTCTTAATTTTTCAAGTTGCATGACAACAGTTTTATATTTTTCTGCTCTGCTTTTCAATGCTGTGCTTTTTAATGCTTTAACTTATTCAATCGTCAAAATCATTCAATTGTTTAAACTAAAAATAAACAATTTTTTTTTTGTCCTCCATGCACATTTTTCTTGTAAGTGGGACTTTAAATGCCTTCTTTTATTCTTTTCAGTCAACTAACAACATATATTTTATATAAATATTAACGTTTTGGTTACAGTTCTTGACACAGTGAAGGTTTATATGGACGTTCTAATATGTCAGTTTTTTATATCTGCAATAAAATCTATTGCAGTGGTGTTAACAGGTACAACCTTAGTATACAGTAGGATTGTCAAAGACATGCAAACAATACTCTAGTATTTTTATAATTGACTAGGGTCATATCACTGGTCATGGGAACAATGTAAACAAATCTGGTTAAACCCACAAGAAGATGTAATTACTGTATGAAATGAAAAAAATGAATTAACCTGATTTTTAAGGTCCATGAATGTTTGAATGTAGCTTAAGATTAAGCTGTTTGGAAGGGCTACTTCTAATCTTAAACAGTTGGAGCTTCTCACCAAAGATAGTGGTGGCATAACTATTAGAGCTATGCAACAAGAAGGTGAGTAATTAAGCATATTATACACTGTGACATATATTCAATTGTTGTGATCAGCTACAGCTAAAACAGTACGACAACACTGCAGGGTTTAAAAGTTCACAGCTATGTTCTTACACTGTACGGCCCGACACTGATGCAATCTAACTACTCATACTCTACGTCTAAAAACCACGCGTTTGACTCAGCGCCAAGAGATACTGTTGGTCGGACTCGTCAATCTAGAGGAGAGAAAAAAAAAATTCCCTTGTTTGGACCTGCAATGTGTGTAAGGTTCAGGTAAATCGGCTCGTAGACACTCTTAGCCCTACTTCAACTTCCTGATCGGGAGGTGGTTGTGAGTGGCTAATCGCCCCTTGTTACCCCTAAGTATACTACACAATGCAGGATGCATGATTAGGCCGAAACTGATTGAAAAATTCTCGCATGACTGGACAATCAGCCTGAAAAGTGCTAAAAATTGTACCATGTACACCCGCCTTTAGATAAACTGTATAAATGCTAGAATACCTATAGATATATTTGAATTCAAGCTGTAAATCCTACACGTTTTTATGATCTTTTGATAGGTTCCAGCCTGCCACTCTTTTGGCTAAATAACAATGCTGATAATGGTTTTGTCCTGAAAGTATACATCTGATTCAATTAAATTTACAGTTATGACCTCATCTAAGTGAAATGTAATGATTTACCAGCTGCAAGGCGATTTATCAAACCAGTTTCAGTTTCTGCTTATATATTTTTCCTCTTGGGCAGCAATCCTAAAAAATGTCTGTGCTCACTTTGGTAAGAAGGAGGCAGAGGTGCATGAAAGGCGATAGAAAGAATTCCCATCTGGAGTTAATTTTAGAGCTTTAGCTGAGGGACAAAAAGAGGATCCACATGGGAAGTTTGTAGATCTGGTAAATTTTAAACTAGAAGTATAATAATAAGCTATTTTCTCCTAGGCACAGATGAGAAGTGGAACTTAAACTGGACAGAAACTCACATTTATGCAGCAATTTACAGCGTACTAAAGCAGAAGAACATTTAAAACCAGAGAGGCACTATATATTTCAGTGACATCATTTTAACATTGACTGGAGCAATAAATGAGATGAGATAATCTACATAATTGGTTTATTATTTTCTTAAGTTCTTTGTTTTTCAATTATTATTCAAAGACATTGAGACTTAAATAAAAATTCAATTGTATTTATTTATTTAGAAAGAAAACTTTTAACCGGTTGTTAAAATAAACTGTATAATTTTGTCACAAGACCTGTAAAGAAATGCCCTATTGTGATTATGATCAGTCTTTAAAGGGATGGAACTAATTATAAATTCTGCATTTAAACTGCTTTTTGTTTGCTTTTTTTTATATAAAGCATTTTTTTTTAGTAAAAGCTTAAATATTTTTAGTTAAAATATGTTTAGTAGAAATATGCTTAACGGCTCAATACATCTAATGACTCAGTACAGTGTTTAAACAACAATATATAAGTAGTTACAGAGCTGTCTACATTCATTTGAGACCATTTCAAAAGCCAAAAGAATAATGTTGTATTTTTTGGGGTTGGCAATGGTGCTAACCACCACATCACCGCACCGCCCTATATTTTCATTCTAACCTTAAAATATCTTGTTTTACCCAATAATGATATAGAGAGAGCTGAGTTATCCTTCTAGACCTGTTACCAATCTTGTGTCCTATGAAATGCTATGGGGGAATGAATATACTGAAAGGCTAGATAGGAAGAAAAGCCATTGAAACTCACCTTAAAAGTTCAATCATGCCACATGGCTGCACAAAAATACACCATGTCAAGGGTGTTCTTTTCCCTAATGTTGGATTTTAACATTTGTAAGATTAAAGACATTCTCTTGTCCCAATAGCTTTTATTTAACAAAAAACTCATACCATTTGCAAAACACTTTAAACAGGGTTACAAGGAAAGCTAATAAAAACTAAAATGTCTTGAGTCCTCTTGATACTGTCATGATCTGGCCTGTTTGCTCTCCCTTAATTAGTAATTCCTCTCACCTGCCCTCTTACCTCCCTGCCTCATCATAATTTATTCCTCTCACCTGTTTCCTCTAGTTTATATTCAGTTCAGCCTGAGCATTCAGTGCTAGATCATTGCTTGTCTTTTTGTTAGTCTGTCTGTTCACTTTGATTTGATGGTTCATGTCCTGGATCCTAGCTGCCAGTGGAAAGAGGGTTTTAGTGTTTGTCTCGTCTCCTGAT